CCGGGGGCACCCCTGTGGCAAAAACACAGGGCACCTCTGGTGCTCCTAAAACGCGACCCACCACCCTGGCCGCGGGTCCCCTGCCCAGCACTCTCTGTGTGTGTGTGTGTGTGTGTGTACACACACACAGGGATTTGCAAAGTAGCTGCATGTCCCACGCCGAGCTGTCTGCGTCCGTATAGAGACGTCAACGCGCGCACACACACGCACATTCCATATTGAACTTTATCCATAGCCAAAATATTGTCTATTTGTGCTCCTATTGACAGAGGTTTCCTGGGAAATGACGTTTCCATACATTCGCCTGTGCGCGGCTTCTGAGCCCTGTTTCCTCCTGGCCGGCGATCAGGGGGCTCCGGGTCCTCTCTAAAGCCCCACAAGCGATCGGGAACAGTTTATTGCGCTGCTCGAACTTGCATTTTCTTTACAAGACCCCCTCATAAACCCCCCGGCTGCATCAGCCACGCCGGACGGGGATATTCCCTGCCAGCTCCTTCCCTCCACCCCACGCTTCCCTCCTCCAGTCTGGCACGGAGCGAAGCTCAGCCTATAGGTAAAATGGCTCTGGCTTTCTGTGGAAAGAAAAACACCCAGGGTCTCCCTTGTATTTGCGAAGGGAGATCCGGGCTGGCTGCAGGCAGGACTTTTTGAGGTCCCTCGCAGCCAGCCACGCCGACAGCCACCGCAGCGAGCTGCAGTATCCCCTAACCGGCCACTTTCCGTCCATCGCGATGCAAACTCTTCCCCCTCCCCTCTGCCCAAACAAAGAGGAATTCGGTGTTTGTGTTGGCCGGCAGACCTTTACTCACAGGAAACTCTTGCCTGTGGAAAACGAGGGTGAAATGTGGTGGTTTAATGCAGCCAGAGCTGGAAAACGGGGTATTTTCTCCCCGCGGCAAGGCCACGCGTGTGCGGGGGGTGTGCGCCCATGGGTGCTGGGGAAGGGGAAAACCCTGGCAGTGATTCCTCCCCTGGCAGAATCGAGACTGGCATCGGGAGGCTCCCCTCTCGTCAGCCGGCGAGAAGGTAAATGCGAATCAGGTGATCTCCGCTCCCAAATTAAAGGCGATGTCGGAGTTATTTTAAATTTTTTTTACACGCATACTCAGGAATGCGCTTCCTCCTCCTCCTCCTCCTCCTTCTCCTCCTCCTCCTCCTCTGGGATTGTTTCTAAATCGGGATCATTTGTGGTTGATTGTACATATAGTTTAACAAATTATTATTATCAAATTACTCAGATTTTGCCATTTGAACCACAAAAAAAGCAGAGGAAAACTAAAAGCAACTTTTCATGTGGGAGACAGACGAAGCTTGAAAGGGATCAGCGTGCGCTGCAGAGCTGCAGCTTCCCTTCCCCCAGAAAGGTTTCCGAGGTAACTGTTTCCCCAAAATTAGCCTCCTGAGCAGAGAGTTAAAATCCCTCGGTCCAGCCTCCGCGGCTCCACTCGCTTCGCTCAAGTAGCTTCAGGTTTAGAAAGAAATAGAGGGGACGGGACAATGGGGCTCCGGGCTGGGTAAGAGCTTGGGGCTTTTGATTTTTTCCCCTTTTCCCCCCTTGGAGACAGAAATCTGCAGCCCTGCTTTTGGGAAAACGTCGCCTGGTTTGTAAGGCAGGAGCGAGCTACCAAACGCCGAAAAAAAATCCTGGGACTTAAAGTTTGAAATAAAGTTAAGCAGCGCAAAGGCATGCAAGAGAATTTCCTTTTTTTCCTTTTTCCTTTTCTTTTTTTTTTTTTTTTTAAAGAAAGAGTTTGGAAGAAAAAGATGCGAAGTGAATAAAGAACGTGTGTGAGTAAAAAGGAATATAAATATCTTTGCATTGCTTTTATTTGCACATATTGCCGATGTTATTGTTGATACCGCGCTCCAGCCCGCGCTCATTCCAGATAATAAATACAGTAATTGGCAATTAATAAGCGTTCCGCTCCGGCTTGAAGGATGAATTGTTGCGGAGTCAATCGTTTTGAACAACTCGCTTAGAGTAATATCTTTCACGCTTTATTAAATATATACGTACACACACCCACTGCAGAGGAATCCGGGCAGATTTGGGAAGGCGCAGCGACCTCTCTTAAAACACCCCTCCGCGGAGGAAAAAAAAAAAGCAGCTAAAACGCGGAAACAAAGCGGAGGCACCCGCGCTACCATCACCCCGAAAATGCAGCGTAATTGGTAATATTTATTTATTTTTTTTAAAGGAAAAAACAAACCAAACCAAACCACCCCAAGGCTGCCTCTATTGTGTGGCCCGGGTCT